TCAGACAATAGACAGGAGAGCACATGGCACCAACAACAAACAACAAGCCATGTGCTCAAAACACACAGTGACATCTGGTGGCCAACTAGGGCACACCAGCAGAACGGTGACAGAACCCCCCCCCTTTAAGGAGCAGATTCCAGACGCTTCTCAAATAAAACGGAAAACAAAGAGTTCCAGGAGGGAGGTGGACCAGAGGCGGATCCGGGGGAGGGATGGTGGGCCAGGCCCGTGTGGCGGAACCTGTGGAGCTGAAGCCCTCCAGGGTGGAGCTGAAGACCACCACAGCAGAGCAGGCATTACTGAAGATCCCCATGGCAGAGCAGATGACTACCACAGCAAAGCAGACGGGAGAGAGGGCCACCATGGTGGATCAGGTGGAGCTGGAGACCACCACATTGGTGCAGGTGGGGCTGAAGACCACCACGGCAGTGCAGGCAGAGCTCCTGACCACCACAACTGAGCAGATCCACGGGCTGGAGTAGGCTCTGGAGCAGACTCGTGAACTGGAGTGGATTCTTGAGTGGACTCTGAAGGCTCCCGGACTGGAGCAGGTTCTTGAGTGGACTCTGAAGGCTCCTGGACTAGAGCAGATTCTTGAGCAGACTCTGAAGGCTCCTGGATTGGAGCACGTTCTTGAGTGGGCTCCAAGAGCTCCTGGACTGGAGCAGGCTCTGGAATGGACTCTGGAGGCTCCTGGACTGGAGCAGGTTCTTGAGTGGACTCCGAGAGCTCCTGGACTGGAGCAGGCTGTGGAGTGGACTCTGAAGGCTCCTGGGAAGCCAGAGCAAACTCCGAAGCGGCTCATGCCCGCAGAACAGCCCTGAGGTGAAAGGCGAAAACAGCCTTCTTGACGATGGCAGCAGCAGTGAAATCGGGCGGCTCTGTAACGGCCTCCATGGCCGAGACAAGGAGAGAGGGCTTCTCAGTGATGGCCTTCGTAGCGGCAGCAGTGAACTCGGGCAGCTCTGTAGCGGCCTCCATGGCCGAGACCAGGAGAGTGGGCTGCTCAGTGACCTCAGAAACCACCGAACATAGGACCACCTGAGTCGGGTCCTCCAGGGTCACCAGACTAGGGACCACCGGACTCGGTTCCTCCAGGACCACCAGACTAGGGACCACCACAGTGATGACAGCTGCTCGCACTGACAATAGAGGTGGGTCCGCCAAACTGGAAACTAGTCCAAAAACGCCTTGGTCTCTCCTTGTGAAGAGGTTCCAGACTGGCAGCCATCTTGTGAAGAGGCTCTGGAAAGGCAGCCATGAAGAGAAGAGACTCTGGCGTGGCGGCCATGAAGGAACAATACTCTGGAGTGGCGGCCATGTTATGAAGAGGCACCACATGAGAAGGTACCTCTTGCTCCAGAACTGATCGTCTCTCCCTGTGGGCTAGAAAGTCCACAAACGCCCCAAAAGCCAGGTGCTCTGTGCCGAACCTCCTCCAGGTGCTGATGGGCTCATCAAGGTCCTTGAGAGCCGCATCGTTGTAGTCCAATCCCTCAGCAGCACTCCTGAACTCCATGGAGAATTCCCTAAGGTCAGTTCCCCGTTGACGGAGGGAACTTAATGCTGCTACTTGGAGCACGCGTTGGTAGAGGGGGCTGCTGGTAGTGGAGGCTGGTAGCTGGAGTGAGCCCATTCTCTGCTGAGTCCTCATGTGGCATTTTCGTTCTGTCAGGGAACTGGAAAGATGAGGCGAGGAATCAAATGCAGTAAGTCTGGGCTCTTTATTAATGATAAAACAAAAAAACAAACAAAAAAAAACCACCCTGAGGGGGAAAAACAGGCAGGCAGGCCAGAAACAAGACACAACACATTCCACAAGAAACTCTAACATTAAACAACGAAACAGCACATGATTGCAGACACAAGGAGAATAAATAGGGAGACAAACGAAGAGGGTAACGAGGGAGACACTAAAGGTGTAGAGGTGGAGTAACTAAAACAATAATGAGATAACAAGAAGGGTGGGGAAAGACAATAGACAGGAGAGCACATGGCACCAACGAACACACAACAAGCCATGTGCTCAAACAAACACACAGTGACATCTGGCGGCCAACTAGGGCACACCAGCAGAACGGTGACAATTTCAGAGCGCTGTCACACTAGTCAGAACGGGAACTTTTATTGCACATAGCGCTGACGGCCGGAAGAGACGCTGTTCATTAGTCAGAGTCATGAGACAGGCAGACTGCAGCAGCCACGGCCTAACGATCGGACTCTCTGCATAACGAGTGCTAGAGACGTTCATTATCATTTATCAGCCTCAGCTTGACTGTATTTTGTGCCGTGTGCATCCTATACGAGTGAATAATGTTCACTTTATACTTTTGTTGAGTTTATAGTTGTTTTGTTAGTTGTGACACAGTTATCAAACGAGCTACGCTGCATGATAATGGTAATGCTCACGTGCTGCATCTGGATTTCGTCTAGGGCATCAAAATGGCTAGAAACGGCCCTGAACATGCTACTTCAATATCAACTGCATGCAGTCTCTGGAGCCAACAGTTAAAGACAATACATGTTCAGTAAGTGTGACCGAGATGCTTGAATTTATGGGTAAGCAAGATGAAGATTTGAAGAACAAGGTGAGCTTGCTGCAAGACAGGATGAAGTCATGCGATAAAAGAAAATTGCCTGATATGTGACAATTCTGATAAACTGGATGCTTATAAAAGGAGATGGAATTACGAGTGGCTAAAGTTCCGGAATAGCAAGGAGAAGATGTCCGAAACATTCTCATCGATGTGTTTAGTAAAGTCTTACCTGAAATTGCTGACCAGCTCAACTACTTAGCAGACATGGTAGACTGGGCCCACTTTCCAGAGACACTTGCTTATACTATCGCATCATTATGCAGTTTATTTCACTTAGTGTCTGGGGTAGAATCTCATGCAAGAACTTCAAAAAAAAAGGGAAAGGGAAATTCAGGAAAAGGAAAACCAGAAATCTCAAATACTTGATGCAAAGTGTCAAGGACGCCAGAAATAAACTGTGGCCACACACTGAACAAGCAAGAAGACAGGGAAGAAAGCACAAAATGCTGTGGTACATTCATTCAACTTTTACTGCATAATTAGACTTTTGTTAAACTCTCAGACATGCAAAAATATTTACCGGTCTCATTTTATTATTTTTTTTATTTATTTGTTTTTTTTTAAATGTAGGTAACTTGTTTAGTTGAGTGATTGTGCTTTCAAAATAGATGTTAAAATAACATCATCCATTTATTTACATTTCACAAGCTACATATATCGAAAGAAATCGCCAAGAAATATATCAGAAAAAGACTAAAAAGGGGAAGAAAGTGAAGTGGAAAAAAAACAAAACAAAAAAAACAACTTCCATAATAAACCCCATATTCAGTAATGTGTGTAATGTTCTGTTGCAGATAGGCAAGACGTAATTGTAATGTTTGAGGTGTTTAGGAGAAGTTTCATTTTCTCACATTAGTTTTGTGTTCGATATTCTCAAAGTATTTATTTGTTGCTTTATGTTATGTCTTCATGCTGGGGGATTGAAAAATAATGTAAAATGGAAGGTTTATTTTTGTTTGCTAATTACAGTTGATTTCAGTTCTTTCCAAGGGAGTCATCCTACATCTAAGGATACTAACTTCTGGAGGTCACAATGAATTAACTATGGGTAAAATTATGTTGCACAAAAAATGCATCTGGATCAAAAAATGTAATACACATTAAGCTGCCTTGGTTATACAAGACATTAATATAGCAAACAATATCTTCAAATTCAAACCTGAAAAGATTTGTGGACAAATATGAGTTGACTGATACCTGGGGAAAAATGTATCCAGGTAAAACTCAATACACCCGTTCTTCGTACGTCACTTATTACATCCAAGATCAAATGACACATCCAAGATGATATCATCGTGCTAATCAGGATCTGGCTAATTCGGTTCTTCGAACGCACCTGTTGTTGATGATTAGTATGGACTATATATAGACACAGGCAGTTTTACTCATTGAAATATTTATGTTGATGGAGCGCAGGAGATGCAGATAACTTGATCTTGACCCTTAAGAAACTTTAATTAATGCTGTCACATAACAAATCTGTTTCAAAGATAAAATTAAATGAATTGCTAATTACAACATTGAAATAAAAATGTAAAGACTTAATGTCATTAAGTTGCTGTCTCGCCGCCAGCCAATCGCTGCATTGCTGATCGTGGTTTCGAGTATCGATACATCTGCCCTTTTCGGGGAACACGAGAACGCGCAGTAATCCTAGACAATTTAATCCAGATATTTTAATCTAATACGCAAATTCGTTTGAAGAACCAAATTAGCCAGAGATCAGTTATCAGGATTAGAAGATCTGGAATCTTTCAAATCATCTCATATGTAATAAGCAACGTACGAAGAACGGGCCCCAGAGCAGACAGCAAGTCCAGGATGAGATTTGAAGAACCAACCAATCCAAGATCATGCCAAATCGTCAACAGTCAAATCCAGCTAACTGAGTTAGCGACGTACGAAGAACGGGCCCCTGGTGTAACAAGGACTGTTCGAAACAATCTAGAGTTGATTATTGATTTATCAACTGACTGACTGATTACAAAGCTTATGACTGATCACAAAGCTATTCATATTTCAGCAAATTTTTTATAAAATAATACCTTCAAATTCTCAAAAGCATCACTATGTAAGTTAAACAGTTCCCTCATTAACTATAAAAAGGTGAAGCAGAAAATGTATAAACTAATCAAAACTTGTTGGAACAAAGCAGAAACACAAAGGGCTTATAGACGAAACTAGGAGCTTACGAAATGGGTAAATTCCTAAGGAAGTAATATAGCAAAGCAGAAGGATATAGGATAGCAGAAGAAGTAATTCTTTCGCAACTAAAAAAAAATTTTTTTAAAAATAGACAAACTGTATAGATCAAAAGCTAAGGGAGCCTATGTTAGGTCTAGAAAAAAAAATGGCTAGAAGAACAACAAAATTCAGCCTACTTTTTCTTTATATTGGAAAAAGCCACTGCCTGATTCAACTGAACATCATCGAATTAATGATAATGATTTTTTTTTTTTCACATGATGTTACTTCTGTGCAACTAGAGACAGCATGTTCTGCTTGCTGCCAATTACACACAAACACACAATATCGAACACATATATAAACTTGCATAAAGTTTTATTGTTGTAGTGAAATACAAGGGAAATCACAAGCTTCATTGCACAGGGTATGCTCTGTGGGAAACTTTGCTTTACTCGAAAATGCGGGCTTTCAGTCACTGATATTTTAATGTTTTCCCTTACATATGTTTGACAAAGGCATAATTTATGCCATTTGGAATGCAGTACATGTTGGATACAAAATGATCACGCACTGACAGATGGCTGCTTTCAAGTACTCATGTGTGCTTTGTGTGTCTTTGTTCTGGAGAGCCCTGTCTGTGCCTGTCTGGAAACTTTCAGACACTTAAAGCACTCAGATACGAAAAGTTTTTTTTGTTTGTTTTCTTTTGTTACCCTTTATTGCTTTGTATTTGCTTGTATGTTTGAATCTATATTTAGCAGGTTATAATTTTTAACATACAATTGTTTTGATTTATTATTAAAGGGGTCATGAATTGAGAAATCAAATCTTTTGACATGTAAGAGGTCATTGTACTTTAAAAACATCCTGTAAGTTTCAGAACTCAGAACTTCTTTGTTAGTCCAAAAACAGCTTTTTATGAAACCAAGCTCAGAAAACGACTCGTTTCAGATTTTCTCACATTATAGTGCAATGAAAATCCACCTCTGCAGTATCAGATCAACACCTACTTCTTCTACATTGTGTCTTTGGCGCCGCCCACTGGAGTGTTAGTGAGATGAAAAGGAGAGAAGATCAATACAGGATCACTGGATTAAAAATAACATTCCAAAGGATCCTAATGCTAGGAATGTGTTTATTTATTTTCAACTATGTGGATGTCTCAGCAGAGCATTATGTGTTTGTTCAGCACATTTCACTGTGGATTCTTTGCTAAATCAGTCACAGTTTCGGCACAGGCTTTGCAAACATACTTTTACTGTAAGATATGGACTTGCCAGTAATGCCACAACATGTAAGTAACCATGTTCATTCCAATGCCTAATGAGATAATGTGATCAGTGATTTCTGATATGTAATGATTCATGTGTTCTTTGTCACAAAATCATTTATTGCTGTTTATGCATCCGTGAATTAAGTCAGTGTTCGCACTGTTATTTACAGTATGATGAAAGCATTCATGAGAGCACAGAACTCGAGTTGCAATGATGAGATCTCTGCATTCATGCGCTCAACAATCTGTCATCGGCTACAATGCTCATCACTGCAACCTTTCATGCAATGGGAGTAGATCTAAATATAATGCTATAATCAACACTTTTCATGATTAGTTCATCTTGACAGCAGTAATACCAAAAATATAGAAAAAGTTTTTGAGAGAGCTCCACATGTAAAACTTATTTCATATGCAAAGATGTTAGCCAATCATAGCAGTGGGCATTTACAGTGGCTATGTTTACATTAGGGCTGCACGATTAATCGAAATTAAATCGCAAAGGCGATAAATCGTGACATAACCTTTATCACTGCTTAGAATACTATGAAATATGTTGCGTGCCTTATTCTGTGTAAAAAAACACATCATCTCACAGAAGGATTTAGTTCAAACACTCAACTGACGTTATGAAGTGAGTTTGGAGTAAAAACATGTTATTAAATGTGGTATTGTCACGTGCTTTCAAAAGGAGCAGCATTTACTACAAAGAGTCGTAGTTCACTGACAAGCTACGCAAACAGCTTTCATAATCGCAGAACGATTTCTTCGATTTCATTATCACGATCATATTATGAACGCGATTTTGCGTAGCTTGTCAGTGAACTACGGCTCTGTGTAGTAAATGCTGCTCCATCTGAAAGCACATTATGGAGATTTACTACTGATTACAGAACCGGCTTTACTGACAAGATGCACTTGTCTTTTAAACATGATTTAAATTCGCTTAAAGAATTAATCGTTCTGAGTGCCAAGTGGAGTGAGTTTGGGTGCCATGACAGAAAAAGACCTGCCGCCCATTGATGATAAGCAGAACCTAGGCACACAGAGAAGTTCTGAACTGGAAGACCGGAGTGAGCGAGAAGGAATATGGGAGAGAGTAGATCGGAAAGATAGGAGGGAGCAAGACCATAGAGTGCCTTATAGGTGAGTAGAAGAATTTTGTATTTCATATGGAAAGATACAGGCAACCAGTGTAGATTAAATAGAATAGGAGTGATGTGAGCAGATACAGGCAACCAGTGTAGATTAAATAGAATAGGAGTGATGTGAGCAGACTTTTTTAAGCGGAAGTTAATAGTCTGGCAGCAGAATTTTGAATGTACTGCAAACAAGAGATGGAGTGAGCTGGTAAACCAGAACAAAAGAGCGTTACAACAGTCAATGCGTGAGGTAATAAATGCATGCACTAATGATTCCGCATCTTTTCTACTGAGGAAAGGACGAAGTTGCACAATTAGACGTAGGTGGAAAAAAGCAGCTTTGGAGAGTTTGCTGGTGTAGGCATCCAAAGACAGTGAAGGGTCTAGAGTGATACCCAAGTTTCTAACAGTAGCCGATGGAAAAATAGAAGTAGTGTCAAGGTCAAAGCTAGAAACATTAGTTTTATTTTTTATTTGAGATGGGGGACCAGTTATTAAGATTTCTGTTTTACTCAAGTTTACGCTAAGACGAGTTGTTCCCCTGTCCCAGGGGAACGAAGGGCCCTCGCATAATATTCGAATCCGTAGCCAGGGCAAACCGCACAACAGG